ACACATTCACACAATTTGGGGTTCAGTATCTTGCTCAATGATACTTCGACACGTGCCAGGAGGAGGCGGGAATCGAACCAACAACCTTCTGATTGGGGGCCGACCCGCTCTGCCTCTGAGCCACAGCCGTCAGTCCACCTAATTCTTTCATACAGACAGAAGTAAAGCTGTGTGGACCTGTTGTGAGGGTATAAAAGAAGTGAAACGGTGAAGCTGTCGACAATTTTTAGAAGTGCTACTGACAGTCTAGATGAGTACACAGAGGCTGTGACATCATACATGAGCTTCTGTGAAGACTGCTGTGTACTGTCACCCACCAAACTACAATTGAGTATTATATGTCGGTTTATAGTATTTTAAAATATTTTGTTTCCAAAAGATTAAAAGATGTTAAAATTGTTGGCAAATGTCCAGTGTGTAACATTTTGGAGGCTCTATTGTCAGAAATTTTAATTCTGTTTTTTTTTTAGTCTATAATCATCTGAAAATAAGAATTGTTGTGCGTTTGTTACCTTAGAATGAGCCTTTTATAGCTACAGACACTGTGGGTCGTCTTCAATGGAGTCCGCCATGTTTCTACAGTTGCCCAAAACAGACAAGCCAAACACTGGCTCTAGATAGGGGTGTTCACCTTTTTTTCGTGCATTTCGCAGCCACCGTAGTTTCTCCTTTGCACTTGAAAGGGGAGGGTGATGTGATGGAGTTGTGATCTGCAACTACACCACTAGATGCCACTAAATCCTACACACTGGACCTCTGAGTTCTGTTTTTACTACGTATGCAGCTTGCACAATAAAAATGTAATTATTAAAAAACAGAAACCCCAATAAGAAATATTACAGGGAAACCGCCAAGATCTTAAAAAAAATACTATGATACAAATGTTGGTCATACTGCCCAACACTAGTGTGTGTTCTACTTACAGCAATAGTTTTCTCTTTGATTCCACCTACTGGCAGTATTTTGCCAGTCAGTGAAACTTCACCAGTCATTGCTACATTCTGACGCACTGGCTGATTGGTTGCCAAGGACAACAGGGCTGTGACAATGGTGCAGCCAGCACTTGGTCCATCTTTTGGAGTCGCCCCCTAAAAACAAATGACAATTTAACATACAGGAATGAGCATTAGCCACAGTGTATTTTATTAAGGACATTTTCAAACAAATAAAATGTTCCTTCTCTTGCATACTATTTAGTAGAAAATTTAAATAGAAAAGGTAAATTAATCAATCAATAAGTAATTTATTTACAGTACTGTGTTGCCATGGTTACCTCAGGAACATGCAGGTGCAGGTGGGAGTTGACCAGGAAGTGATTTTCTGGTTCTTTGGTCATCAGGAAGGTTCTGGCAAAGGTTGAAGCAATCTTTGCACTTTCCTTCATCACATCACCCAGCTGACCTGCAGAGGAGCACAAACATCTGTAATATGCTTTCTGTACAGTTTCAGACCTCCACCCTGCAGAATGACCTCCACCCTGCAGACTGACTTCCACCCTGCAGAGCTTCTCAGTTGCTGGCCTTCCTGACTAACCTGTAACCTCCAGTGACCCCTCTCCTTTAGAATCCTCTCCTCCAGAGGGACGGCGCAGTGAGGTCTCAATAAACAGTGTCGACCCTCCTACACAGGGGGCAAAATGCAGGCAGACCTTCAATATGCTACATTTTCTATTGGTACAGGTTTGTGTGTATGTGTGTGTGTGTGTCACATCTCTCTCACCCATAGCGGTCCATGCCAACCCCATAACCACTCCTGGTGGGGTGACATTGTACATCCGATCAACTGTGAAAACAGGTTTACCCACGTAGTCCTGCAGGTTGTCAGGTGTAACGATTACTGTGGCTTGCTCACCGCTGACAATGCTGAATGCCACCTTACGGAACACCTGACAGACAGATGGAAAAAGGTTTATACAAAAAAACTAGACTTACTGCCCCATGGTTGTATGCCTCCACCAACCACTCAAGTTGCAGTTTAAACTGATGTTTGTCCAGATTCATTATATATGTGGTGAAAACTTTGAAGGAAGTGTATGTTTTGGCTAAATTGAATCACTACATTGATGATAAATATGCATGATTCCAGTGAATCTACATGTTTGAAGTGATTAATGAAGGATTATCACAGATGTATTGATACTGAACAGGTACACATGTATTAAGAGTAAATGTGCTTTGTGTTCTCGTGACATTTTTAGATGGGAAGAATCTACGCGAAACTCATTCACTCATTTAAAAAATCATTATAGCTAGGGGTGCTCCAATACTAGTGCTGGTGTGCTAATTACTGTTTACTCATTGTGTTGTCCCAGACAACATGCTAAGAAATCTGGAATTGCCTGGTTCATTCTTAAATTATGGCTAAAAAGCTATTTTTCTCTGACCTTTAATAAACGTGTTACCAATTCAGTGCCCAACAAACTGTGAAATATGGTCCCAATCTCCCCTTCTGTTCCTGAGCTATGGTGCTCAAAAAACTCAATATGGCTCAAAAAACATTTCCAGGACATTATGATGTCAGAGTGAAGTTCACCTTTGGCCTTTTGGGTTTGGGAAGTTATGACCAAAAACCTGTTTGTCAAGGTAATATTGAGGTAACAGTGACCTTTGAGTCAAAACTGTCACCAATTCAGTGTCCGACCAATGGTCATCACTTGTGTTTTGTGTGCTTTGTGAGGTCACAGTGACCTTTGACCCCGAAATCAGTTTATTCATTTTAAAGCAATTCCCTTGAGGCGCACCTCAGATATCTGGTCGTGAGAATGAGACAGACAGACGGACAACCTGAAAAGATAATGCCTCTGGGCATAGCAATCACTGCATGAAAATCACTGGGGGATGTGCTACTTTCTATTGGTATAGGTATAGAGGTAGAGCCGTCCACTAATCGGAAGGTTGGCTGTTCAATCCCTGGCTCCCCTCGCTGCATGTGGAAGTCCTTGAGCACTGAACCCCAAATTGCTCTGATGCTGTGCATTAGTGTATGAATGTGTGTGAATGCTTAGTTCCGTTCTGGTGAGCAGTTGGCACTTTGCATTGCAGCCACTGCCAACAGTATTTGGATGTGTGTGAATGGGTGAGTGTGGCATGTATTGTGCAGAGCATTGAGTGGTCGAAAGACTAGAAAGGCGCTATATAAGTACAGTCCATTTATCATTTACTGTGCTGTGACTGTTAAGATTACTTTAACTGCTGGCCCTATCAAAGGATGAAGCAGAAGTAGGATTCATGCAGAATGTTCTGAAACCTTTATTCTAAGGAGCCTAACAGAGCTCTATACTATTTTACCTTTTCAACTTGTTTCTGTAGGTTCCTGACTCCAGATTCTCTGCAATACTGCTTGATTAGCAGACTGAGGGCGTCAGATGAGAGTGAGGCCTTCTCCTCAGTCAGACCGCATAGAGAGCGGAGCTGGGGGACCAGATAACGCTGGACAGACAGAGAAATGCAAAATAAAAGCATGATGTACGAGTGAGGCATATTGACTTGATACCTTAACTATGAAAAAAAGAAATCTGCTATTATTAAAAGTATACAACAATAATCTTAATAATATAATTTATACAGCACACTTTCTGTCTTTATTTTTTTACACAAACACATTTGCAGAGGTAGAAGTTGGTGTTACCTCAGCGATAGCCAGTTTCTCCTGGGCCACATATCCAGATACATTGATCATCTCCATCCTGTCTCTGAGAGGCTCTGGGATGGTGTCGATCACATTGGCCGTGCAGATAAACAAAACCTTTATTGGGGCGAACAGAGACAGCCAAAACTTACAAAAACTGCATTTTTCAGTAGGACTGTGGAACTGTACTCACTCTTACCTTTGACAGATCTACAGGGACATCAAGGTAGTGGTCGAGGAAGTTGGCATTCTGTTCAGGATCCAGAAGCTCCAGCAAGGCAGAGGATGGGTCGCCCTGGTAACCACGACCAATCTTATCCACCTGGTAATGGCAGGTCAGATGAAGACTAATTTTCATCATCATTCTCCAGCACAATTCCCAGGATACAAGGCTTGTGTCCACAAATTAGCTTGTTATAAGTCCTATTTTTATCCCTTTGTCTCTCTATCTATCTATCTATCTATCTATCTATCTATCTATCTATCTCTCTATCTCTCTCGTGCGCACAT